GTTTTTATTTGCTTACATTACAAAGCTGCTTTTTTCTGTTTTCTTTTGCTTTTTGCATTCGTGTGAAATAAATATTTCCAAAGGTATTTCATATATATATATACATATATATTGTGTGTTTGTATTTATATAATATATATTTATATATACACTTATAGTTCCATTTAACTTTTTTCCTGTTTCTTCCCCATAATGTTAAAAAGTCATAAAATTGTGCAACGCTTAGAAAAAAAAATCCCAAACTGTTTCTCACAGATTTTATTTTAGGGCAGAAAAAAGTCAAAAGGTGGCTTGTTTGCAGCCATGCAAGAACTGAGGAGAAGGAAGTAAACCCATCTTAAGAAAACAGAAAATATGGAGGGTAACTGGGAGGAAAAAGTCAGCCTGTATTCCCAGCCATGTGGGAAGCCAAGTGTGAATGGAATCTCCATTTGGAATCTCCATTTTTCTGGAGGGAGATTCATCCCACCAGCCTAATTGACACTGTAGAATGTAGTAAGAAGGATCTGCTATGAAACATTCTAATTCAGAAACTTGCCTCTTATTTTCTATAGCTAGAAATAAATTGATTTGCAAAGTAAGAAATAGATAAACATATAGTGCAGCAGAAAATATTCTTCCATTGTTGTTGTTTTTAAATTAGTTGCTGAACTGAAAGCTAGCCCAGCCTCTTTTCACATTGTCCAATTTACTAAAGTTAAACTGTACCTAAAATAGATACATCCAGATTTAGTTTGAAAATCTTCAGAGAAAGAGATATTTCTGTAAAACTATATAAAAATATTAATAGACACAGCACACATCAGCCTTGGTTCCCTATTTTTACAAGGAGTAATGTCCAGACAAGATCTCCTGTGTTGCAGTTCATCAGATGACATTTGATTTTAGTTTGTGGATCTTTATCCTTTTATCTATGATAGTTTTGTTGCTCATTGTTGCTTAACTATAAAAGCATGATTTTTTTTTCTGCTCAAAATGTTTGTTATCTTTTATTTTTTTTAACACTCAATATGCATAGATTACTTTGATGCAATATTGAGAAAGGGAGCACTGGGTCTGATATTTCTGTATGGGACAATGCTTTGTTGGATTATAAAAATCACACTCCTCTGCTTTAAAGAAGGGTAGCAGAAAAAATTACTGAGATTTCTAGGGGAATGGGTAGAAGGAAATGTAAACAAGCTGTAAATTTTGTTAGAAGGAAAAAATGATCATGACAAAAAGGAAGAGTAGGATAATGTTATGCGATGCTGTCCAAACATTAGCAAAGGATATTGTGTTGGAGAAAATTAGCACCCATATGGACACCAAGAACTCCCTCCCCCTGCAAAAAATAAAATAAAAACAAAAATAGAAATAGAAATGGCACTTTTCCTATGATAAAATGATATACAGTATGCAAGCCATTTCTTGCCTGCACTTTTATGTTACATGTAGCTTAACATTAAGAAAGGTATCACATTACTGGGTCATCTAGCCTATGAAAGCAGGTCAGTCTTCAAAGGCGAGATTAGCTATGCATATGAGCCCTAGCAGGTACAAAGTAAATAATAAGAATGCTTTGTGTTATAGTGACAATTTCTTTGCAGATGCTTGGAATCATGAGAAATGAGCTGTTATAAATGTTAGAGATCTGAAGGAGTAAGGAAGGGCAGGAAATGTAGAAGAGAAACAGGTACAGACAATGGATGATAATGTGGCTACAAATGCTTTCTTAGGGGGGAAAAATCAGTTTTAGAAATGCCGATGCAATCCAGAGGTTTAAAGTGCAGGTGCTTATGTCAGATGCAGCAGGCAAAACTCAAAGGAGTTGGAATACATTTCAGTCTGTCAGGTTTCTTTTACTGGAAGACTAAAAACTTAACTCAGCTTCCTGTAGACTCCAGCTTCTCTCAGCTTGTTGAAGCATTATTCAAAAAGGACTCTGGAAGCTACAACATATTGCAAAATGCAGTATTTAAGTTGTTGGAAGAAACATAACCAATGGCAACACTTGATGGAAAATATGGGTAGGAGACTCTTCCTAGGAGTAAAAACTCAGACAAGATAGGCTATCAAGGTTTAGCAACAGTGACAAATATTTCAGATGTATTACCTAAATGGAGGTTTTCGTGACGAAAGAGCACAAGAGTAGCTCTCTAGCCAGTTATTTCAGAGTGAACAAGTTAAAAGGAGATTCAAACTCAAAAGGAGATTCTCTTCCTCCTTGGAATCCAGGGCTGAATAGAAGACTTAGTGATGCCCAGTATAAAATTAGGATATGTGGCAGAATGACCCTTCAAAAATTAGACGTCCATGACACTAAGGGCCGTGTTAATCTGAAATGCCAGGATAGAATTGGGTAATGAAGCCCCCAGAAATGTTCTGAAACCCAAGTAGTTTAAATATGAACATGTTTTCAGGTCCATATAATAATATGACACCTTTTGAACTCTAAAAGCCCTTCTCAGTATAATTCTTCACAGCTCCAACTGAGCATTGAATTATCCAATTATGTTATCAGTTTTGTGTAAATGGTACATTTCTACTTTGTTTCTTGTAAAAAAAGTAAACTAAACGTCTATTTAAGGCAATCAAATCCTATCAAGTAGGCGCCCTGTAATTGTCATCACTTCCCCTCTGCTCCAGTGGGAAATTATTCTTGCATTTTGCAAACATGGTTTATACCAGCAGGTATCCACACTGTCTTAGAAGATGGAAAGCTAAGCACTTTACGGAAAAGGTAAAACTACGTCATTCAAAATGTATATAGCAAGCTTACCCCACTTCTGTTGTAACTGTTCCTAAGCAAGCATTGTTTGTTTGCTTTGAAATATACATAGCGGTCTATAAAGTTAGATGTCATGCAAATGAAGGAAGTGCCATTTATAAGTTCATTCCCCTGGTAGTAGAAGTGCACGGTAGTTAATCTCACACCAAAGAGTAAAGACTCTTAAAGCTGGAAAAAATAAAAGGGAACAAGAAACAGAGAGACTGCCAAAAATAACAATCCTAAGCAGGGGATGCCCTCCAAGTCACCTCAAAATGTTTTCTTTACCATTCAAAAAATTATGCAGGCTTAAGAAGAACCCATTTCTCTGTTTCTTCAAGCTGAGTCTGATGTTGGAAAGCAGATATTGCCACGTTCCAAAGCTGATTCTGTCTTCATGGTGCCGTCCAGGTGCGCAGTTTGGATTGTCAGATTTCCGCAGCATATTGCAAGTGAACCTGAAGGGGTTCTTGCGTCACGCACACGTCTTTCTGCCATTCCCTAGGGCCATGTCATGCATCCTGATTCCCCATTTCCAGTTTCTTGTACCCTCTTACACTTTTCATAACAATTTATCACAAAGTCAACTCCAAGTGTAAACAATAACATATTAAGACTCCCACCCCACCCCAGCTTTATGAAAAATCAGCCACAAATCCAAACAGTTGATATTTCTAGGTATTACATAAAGATCCATGTCAGCAATACTCAAAAGTTTACGAAATAACACGGGTTTCATTTTTCCTATAAAAAGGCATGCAAAGTACAAGAGATAGCGAAAGGTTTCAGTTTGTCTGTTAAAAGCATCATCAAAATGCCTCCAAGTGTCATTTGTAAAGCTTGCATTTTCTATCTTGGCTGGAAAGTGGTGGCCTCTGTTTTTATTTCAAATTAAGGGGTAGGTCTGTTTCCACGCTGTAGGCATCTTCCGTGCTGCCATGTTTCCTGAAATTTAAATGTAGGAAAGGGGGTGGGTGGAGACAGGGGAGAGAGCTTTGGGAGTCATTTGCTGATTGATTGGTGATTGTTAGGCTTTTTTTTTTTAATCCAGTCAATCGTGTCCGATTCTCGGAGACTGCCTGGACGAGTCCCTGCAGTTTTCTTGGCAAGGTTTTTCAGAAGTGG